CTGTGTGTAAGGCGAGGGATGATTTTAAGCAGAAATGCAGCCCCTTCTCCAAGCAGCTTTTTGCCCTTGTACAGGTTCATCTCTCTAGAGCAAAGAGGTGGGCAGAGGAAGGATTCAACACCCCTACTTGCATAATGGCTACCTGGAACTGTGAGCAGGGGCACTCCTGGGGGATGGGAGTGGGAAAAACATAAAGTGTAGCATTTTCTTGTAGGTTCCACTTGTTATTTCTGAAAATAAAGGAAAAAGTGTATGGGCACACCATCAATTACCCCCATAGTTAAGCATTCAGGTGCAGGTAACTTCATCAGGATTTTGCACAAAATCCAATTCAAACAAATTATTCAAGCCTATATCGTCCTCTGTTCTCCACTCTATAACATTTGATCTCATTACTCTGACTTGATGTGTCTCACTAAAGTCTATCTGGAAGCTATTGATCCTCTCCCACTCCCTCAGGATCTCTCTTGAGGTTCCTTCAGGTAGCATAAAAGTTAGTGTCAAAATTGTATAAATGACTTTTAATGTCATTAATTAATATACAGCTGAAATTTACATGAACTTATGAAACATCCACCAAGCAGCCATAAGCTACAATTGACATGAAACATGTCTGTGCACTTCTGCCACTTAAATACAGCATAGTACAAGATCAAAGGAAAATAGGTCAAAGAGTAACATCAATACACTTCTGTGCATTTTTTATTTTTTCTTTAATTTAAAAGTCGGCAGCTCATCCTCAAAGAGCAAAATTAAAGTTTGTTTTTCACTGCTTATCTCATTTAATTGACTATATTAAAATGCACAGTCTGTCATCACATATATCAGAATCTGACATATCACTGATAGTTCTTACAGGCTATAGCACACTGATGTATGTGCCAGCGTTGTGGCAGAGAACGGACAACAGCCCAGGACTACATTAGCTTCTATGGGATGGCTTCACACACTCTTCTACAATACATTAGTAGATTTATTGCAAAACCAAAATACAATCCACACCAATGTCACACTGGCCTAAGTCTACCTGGTATGGAATGAGGTACATCTTGCAACGTACTTTCATCACAATAAATCACCAGAGTTTTTTATTCCAATCAGCACTGTCCCATGAATAGTGCAGAAAAATCTGATACTACCCCAGAGCAAGGCTAAAGGACAAAGTAGTTAAGACAATCAAGTTTCATAATTAGATTATCCATCTCTTCAAATGAAAGTAAAATGCAGATGCAGATAGGGATGGTGAAGTGACTGTACTGCAGGACTGGTTAACTCTTCAATTAAAACAATTTTCCTGAATACAAGCTTCTGTTTTGAAGCTTCTATTCTCTCTGTTAAGAAAATATGGTCTCCTTCTGGAGTATACAGGGAGTATACCACACAGAGCTCCGTAAGTATGGGGAAAAAATCCATGCAAATCCATGCATCAGTCCAACAGGTTTCAACACTTTGGTAGAAGAAAGATCTCGGGAAGCTCCCAAACCCGTACAGTTGTGGGGAAAGGACTGGAGAAAGCCATGGGCCCCAGCAATTATAACTGCAGAGGAAACAGTGAACCACAGCAGTAGTTGAACCACCCTCTCCATGTACACACTGTAATAGGTAAAAAAAACCTTTGGAATTGAGTGAGGGTCATTTGGCCCACCTACATATCCTGAAATTAAGATTAGAGGAAACAACTGTAAGTCTTTCAGAGATGGAACCCAAAGAAACAAGAACAGGTTTGAGAAAAGGGTGAAAGTCCTGCTACAAAACCCCTCCTTCCCATGAGGAATTTCCTCCAAATAAGGTTTCCCATAAGAAGGATGAAAGTGGTATGATATCACTCATGCTGCTGTTGGGTGCATCAGACAGCCATTGTCAACTGCTGGCAATTTTATATTTTAAAGGTTTGAATAGGAGAGAATGAAAAGGTGTACCTATTTCCATGCACGACATGGTTTTCTGAGCTAACATGGACACCTGACATTTGACTACAGCTCAACCTCAGCTCATTCACCAGAGTAACTGGGCAGCACGGCAAGGCATGGTATAGGATGGAACCTTCCACTGCCATCAGGTCAGAGGCCACCCTCTGACATGCATTTCAGCTTTCTATATGGGTGAAAAGAACTGTGGCTCAGGAACAGGCAAACCATTAAGGCAGATATAAAATTACAATAGTACATAGTAATTGAGCGTGCATAGTATGAGCTATTACAAAGAAGGCCATGGATTCAAATGCTCTTGGCAGAACCTGGGGGGGGGGAAAACATTAGAAAAGCGGAGGACAGCAGAGGCCAATGATGGCTCCTGCACTGCACACCCAGGGATACATCATTCCTGGCCATACCTATATAGAGTTTATGGCTTGCATTACTCAGAAAAGGGGTGTCAAAATATTTTTGCATGATCTGTAACAGCAATTGCTGCAGCTTTTCCAGAAGTGGCTATCTTCCTATGACAGATATAACATGTTTAGAAAAAAGAATAACAAAAGCTAATGGGCATTCTGAAGCATCAAACTGGGCGAAGATTTCTCAGACCATTTTCCCAGGATAGCAGGAATGGGAGAAGCAGACAGAAACAACCTTGGGGCATGCCAAGCATGCAAGGGGTGTAGCGATTACAAGTATAGGGGCAGTGAACTAACTGCTTCTGGGCAGAACCAGGGCTGGGCTACACCCATAGTTATTAGTCCTTAACAGGATAATTTGCACTGTTATGACTGGGGAAAGTCATTACAGGCTCATTAAGTATTCACAAGAGTTGTAGCCAGATCTGATCTGAAAACTTGTGCCTCATCTCTATATTTACCACTGTGTCCACAACGAGTGGGACGTCAATGGTACAGTGGGCTGTCTCAAGAGGGCACCCCAGAGCCCTTTCTAGCTTTCCTCAGCTGTTTTCTACACTACACATAAACCTCATCTAGGTGAACGGGGAATTCCCCTTGCCTTTGTTCAGAGTGCAAGGGACTGCAGGATGCTATGGATCACATTGTAAGGACTGCTCCTCTTTCTCTTAAAATACAGCCCTTCAAGCTAGAAAGCCCAGGCTCTTTAGGTGAGCTACAAGAAGGGAAGGAAAGCTTGAAATGAGTGACTGCAATGCCAAGGTTAACAAGCAGGATTAGACAAACAGCTATTAGAACCAGAGCACCCCTGATTGAGAGAGAACCACTACAGAACAAGGAGGGTCAGAGGAGGAGGGGTATGAATTGATCAACCCAGTGGTTCATTGCCAGGACAAACAAGGGGACCAATTAAGTAATGGCCAGCATTCCCACTTTCTGGCCTAAAAGTACCATGGACCTCCCTGGGGGGTAGACCTAGTCCCCTTTTGGAGAGCAAGTGAGAAGAGGGATTCAGTTTGGAATTGGTTCTTGATATGGGAAAGAGCTAACTCCACCACTAATTTAATAACAATTTTATAATTACTCACTTTGTATTGCAAAGGTATACCTGACTGGGTAGCCTAGCTCAGTTAAAAAAAACTATATTTTTGAAGCCTTTTACCTTGATCTTCTGGAAAGAGAAAAGGGGGAGAAGTGTTCATGACACACATAATACGTTATTGTTCCTTAAAGCAAAGTCAGGAATCTAACGCTGAGAAGCAGCGTTAGTCAGAGAGCTGTGGAAAACAGCATATTATTACATGAGCTTCTATTCCACCAGTAACACCCTGGGGGTGGCGGGAAGAGGATCCCACATCTTATCCTGAGTAAATTTGTCCCACGTGCACCAATTCTAAAATAAAGGAAGCTCACTGCCTGTCACTTAGCAGTGTGAGTGATGTTGGTCTTTCCCTTGCCTGTTCTTACAACCAAATTCTTCTGAGATATCCCCACAGTAGACATTATGATCTGCTTTACACTCCTGATATATCACCGACAAATTCCTAGTTCACTGATAATATTTAGCTGATCTGCACACATTAATAAGTAGATAAAAGTGCTACCCTGACCATGTTTAGGCAGAAAAAAGTCCTACACTTGGAGCTTGCTGGGAGTTGTAGCACTTTTTCCTCCCTAAGCAGGCACACATATATCAGAATTTTAAGCTGTGTCTAAAATATTCCTAAAGCTGCAATCTGAAACAATTTTCCAGGGAGTCATCTCCATTGGATATACATACAACTGTGAGCATTTGCCTTCTCAGCAAGTACTGTAAGTTTAGGAATCAATGAGGCTAATTCCAAAGTAAATACTTTTTGGCCTAGGAACTAAAGTACATCTTCAAAAAATATGATATAATTTATTTTCTCCCACTTGACACCCTTCTTTCAAAATAAAAATTGTGGAAAAGTACTGTAACAATATCCAATATAGTACCTTTATAAAGCTGTACAATGAAAAAATATATTCAATATATTTTATATTTATAAACGTTGCAAGAATGCTAACTAGTATACATGCATATTAAGTGATTCTACTAATATTATATTAATATTACAACAGCATGATTGTAAATTTAAAAGAAAACAAAAATCTATGCATATCTAAACAGAAGAACCACAATGCAAGAAAATTCCATCTCAATTTTCAAATCTCTTTGCTTTAATTATCCACGTAAGAATCTCAACAATTTCTTCTCCACCATTCAGTATTCTTTCCATGATGTTTGAGATTATATTTCCAATAACCAATGATTTTAATGAATGCAATCAAAAAACATTCTACTGTGCCTTATGGAGACTGAGATAAAAGAAAGCGACCTGAAGTATGAAGCCACTGGATTGCAAAGTCTAACACTGCTGAGCAAAGAGTTTTTAGGAGAAGGCCAAAAACAGCAGCAGTTTATACCCGCTTCTCCTTGCCACAAGCCTCATTATGTAGGCATCCAAGGGGAATGGAAAGTGATTACTCATAATGCCAGGTCAGAGATAAAAATGCCAAGATTCTGGAATAGGTAAAGAGAAGATGGAAGGAAGAAAGTCTGTCCTACAAAACAGGATGAAAGGCGCCACGACTGCAAAGATACTAAAAATATCCACAGAGTCAGCAATCTGGGATCTTTTACCTGTGCTGAGAAGGTGGCTGCTGGTGATAGTGGAGGAGGTGACTCATGTAGATGGCTCTCTTCATCCTCAGGAGAATCATCCAGGAGAACTTTGCCACTCTTGTTGAGCTTCCACATTATTAGGAGGTCGAAAGGGGAGATAGGTGGGAGCAAAGGAAGTGGGAAAAGGAGTAGTGGACAGGTCTTATTTATTCCTGAGAAAGTGGAAGACAGGAAAGGGGTAAAATGGAAATGACTTTGTCATTCAGTAACAACTATCCTATAAAAAGAGTACTCATGGAAGCGCAGGGTTGAGGGAAGCTAGGCAGATCATAGTGTGCAAAAGAACAAATTTATAGGCAAGGCTACTGAAATAGAAGGAACAAAATGGGGGAAGGGTAGACACACACAAATATTTCCTTTGAACACACACCCTTTACCCCCATAGCAGACCACTGCCACACATTTTATAGCTCCATTTTAGAATCACTGGGGACCGACAGATTCATCTCCTGTCCTTTTTCTGAACGATAAGAAGCGTGTGGGCTCAATGCCCCAATGATCCCGCCACGCTTAAAATTTAACAGGTCTGGCTGTAGTCATGATTCAGTCCCACGGGATGGAGCAATCTGTACGTGCACAGAGGCATTCAAACAGCAAAGGGGGGCGGGGAGCGCCACGAAAACACGTGAAGCGATCAGTCCGGCAGGAGTACCGTACTGGGCAGAGAAAGAAAACAGGTCCTGGAGCTCAGCCCTGCGGCAAGAATTGCCATTCCTGTTGCCCCTCGACCACGCCTCCTCCTCCTCCTCCTGCTCTCTGTCCCTAAGCAAGAGGGGGGAGGATGGCTCGGCTGCCTGGGTGAGCGGCCCCCCCACGCCCCTTCCTACTCCCTTCTGGCTCCACGAGGCTTCCAGGGAGAAGAGGTCGCCGCCATGGAGAGTGCGGGTCGGCGGAGGGAGCAGAGGGCCTGACTGCGGCCGCCCGGCTGCCTTCCCGTGTGCCCGCGCCGCGCTGTGTCACCGCAACCCGTGCGCCCCCTCACCTGTGACCGTTGCTCGTCGCCGTCAGAGCCGCCTCCGCCGCAGCACGGAGCCTCCTCCGGGCGGCCGCTGCCATGTTTGCGGCTGACGGGGCGGTGGAGGGAGCCGGGAGGGGAGGGGGCGGGGGGGAGCGGGAGCGGGGAGGGAGGCTTGCCTCGTCACCACGGCAACTCGCGTGGCCCCGCCGAGGCCTGGCGGGGAAGGGAAGCCCTCACGAGCCGCGGGCTCGAGCCAGCCTTCGCCCTGCCCTTGGGCGCCCCTCGCGCCCCGTCCAGAACGCGGGAGCACCAAGTCTCGTGCTGAAAATAGACACGCCGAAGTGGATACATCGCTGTCTTCCTCAGGCCGTGCCCAGTACGCGCCGGCTATCCAGGACCGCCCCCCACCCCGGCCGCGGCACACGCACATCTTAAGTCTCCCAGTAGCTGGATCAGGGCTTGGTTCACCCAGGACAGTCTGTGGAAGTCTTCTCAGCCTTTCCTGCAGATGGACACTTTTATCCCCCTGCTGCTCCGAAAGCTACACCCCTGCAGCCGCACTTCACCCGCTCAGGAATGAGGGTTGCAACTTGGTTTGGCTCTAACGGTTTAAGCAGAAGCCACCCAAAAGACCCGTGGGTGCCTCAATATTGTGGCACGCGTGTGCTTGCTTGGGCGAGATTTCTACTTGATTAAGGAGAACTAAGTCCTTTAAGGAAGCGATCCTATGCCAGTTTAGCCAGGAGAAAACAGACTCCTACAATTCCCAGCATGCCTCAAATAACTCGCGTGGGTGGAAGACTGCTGGGAGTTGTAGGATTTTTGTTCTGTCAAAGGTTTTCGCCCTAAGGTATCACAAGACTCTTGTCTTTGTTGCAACAGATTGATGACTAGGACTGCACTGCTCAAAAAGCTCATGACATAATAACATGTATCAGTCTTTAAGGTACCATAAGACTATTGGTTATTTTAGCTTAATAAATATGAGAAAACTTTATGTATGATCATGATCCTAACAAGAATATTCCAACAAACTTGGAAAGTGAAACAATGGCGCACAGACTGGAAACATACCATATACATTCCATTTCCCAAAAAAGGAGTGCAAAAGTGAAGCCACTATAGAACCCATGAAAGCAAACTGATGCTCAAGGTGCTGCAACAAAGAATTTTACCATATATGGAGCAAGAAATGCCTGATCTTCAGGCTGGATTCTGAAACAGAGCTATTACATTGCAAATACAGGTTGGCTCCTAGGGTGCATTGGCTAGGGTGAATTTCAGGAAAATATCAGTCAGTGCTTTATAAACTACAGCAAAGCCTTTGATTGTGTGGATCATGAGAAGCCATGGATGAAACAGAGTGGTTTCCCATAGGAAAGGTATCAGGCAAGAGTATCTTCTGCATAAGGAAAGCTGGATTAGGATCAGAGGAAGAAGGGAAAATTAGCAGAAGATGCATCAATATTTTAAGATATGCAGATGATACCATATTACTGGCAGAAAGCAGTAATAAATTGAAATGATTTGTCATGATAGTGAAAGAAGAAAGAGTAAAAGCAAGATTGCTGCTGAATATTAAGAAAACAAAAATCAAGACTACAGAAGAGTTACACAACTATAATGTCAACAATGAAGAAAAGGAAATAGAAATTGTGAAAGATTTTGCATAAATTGACTCAGTCATCAATTCAAAGGGAGATTGCAATGAATAAATTAAAAGATAAGCGAGACTTGGAAGGGCAGAAATTAAAGAACTAGAAAAGATCATAGAATCATAGAGTAGTAGAGTTGGATGGGGCCATGAAGGCCATTGGGTTCAACCCCCTGCTGCTGCAGGACATCATCAAGTGTAAGGAAGTTTCACTGGAGACCAAGGCCAAAATCACCCATACCATTGTATTGCTGATTGCTATGTACAGGTGTGAAAGCTGGAGAGTGACAAAAGTTAAGAAGAATAAAATTGATACATTTAAAATGTGGTGCAGGAGGAGGGCTTTGCAAATACTCTGGACTGACAGAAAGACAAACAAATGTTCCTAGAGCAAATCAAACCAGAACTTGGCTTGAAAGCAAAAATGATGAAGCTAAAGCTGTCATACTTTGGGCACATCATGAGAAGGCAAGACTCAGTGGGGAATATAATTATGCTATGGAAAGTTGAAGGCAAAGGAAGAAGAATAAGACCAAATGTGAGATGGATTTATTCCATAAAGGAAGCCTCAGCCTTGCAATTATAAGAACTGAGCAGCACTCTGAAGGACAGGAAATTTTGCAGGGCTTCCATTCATAGGGTTGCATAAGTTGGAGATGAGTTGATGGCACATAACAAATGATCATGCATATAGTTTCCTTCTCCAATAACTCATGAACAACCTGGACACTTTGGTGAAGAGTTGGAATGTCATATTGTAACCATAAATTGCTCATACAACGAGGGAGAGGACCTTCTCTGTAGTAGCCCCCCACCCCACCATTTATTTATTTTGAATTAGCTCCCCTATGAGGCCTGCCTGGTGCCAACATTGCTATCTTTTTGGCACCGGGTTAACACTTTCTTCTCTCAAATATCTGGCAACATATGAAACTGTTCTTGAAGTCTTCTTGTGTCAATTGTGCAAAATTGTATACATGTGTGTATGGTTGTGTTTATGTCTCTGTGTTCTATGTCTGTGGTTTTTATATTGTATTTCTTAAAGTTTTAATCTTTGTAAATGGCCCAGAGAGCTTTGGCTGTTGAGCAGTATTGAAATGTAAGCAGTGAATGAAGAAATGAATCAATGAAAGTGCAGTCACTCCTGCAAAGTGACCCATTTTGTTCTTCCACTGAATGATGGTAGTTCTGGCAATTTCCAGCCACAAGCACAGCAGGGTGCTATTGTATTCATCCTCCTGCCTGTGGGTTTGCCATGGGCACCTGGCTGGTTGCTGGATGAAGTAGGCCTTTGCTCTTACTCTGGTCCAACAGAGTTCTCCTTATATTCTTATGATGTGCTGGTCTTATCATATATGTAGTCAGTTCTCATTTCTGTGGTAGGACACATCTGGAATATGCATTAATAAGCAAACCATAGAGTCATATAATAACCCAACTCCAGTTATCCTTCTTTGATTTTTTTATAAAGGGACTCTACAAAACTATTAGTCTGCTACAAAAGTTTAGTTAAAATCGACAAACATTAAGTACACAATAAAGCCAGTTTATTATTTATTTAAAACATTTCTATGCTGCCCACATCGCAACAAAGCCTCGGGGCGGCTCACAGCAAAAAACAAAAACAAACAAAATCCTATAAAAAATTATACACTAAAAATAAAACCCGGTGCATCTCGGCTTAATTTTTTTTTAAATCCTCCATAATAAATTAACACTTAAAAATAAGTTTTAAATAAAAAGGTCTTAGCCTGGTGCCGAAAAACAAATAATGACGGCGCCAGGTGGACCTCTCTGGGGAGCGCATTCCATAGGTTGGGCGCCACCACAGAGAAAGCCCTCCTCCAAGTACTCACCCTCCAAATATCCTTCACGGAGGGTTCCCGGAGGAGGGCCTCTGCCGCTGATCTCAGGGGGCGGGAGGGCATATATGGACACAAGCGTTCCTGTAGATACCCAGGGCCCAAGCTGTTGAGGGCTTTATAGGTCATAACCAACACCTTGAATTGGGCCCGGACTTCAATCGGGAGCTAGTGGAACTGACAGAGAACTGGGGTTATATGAGAACAACACCCAGTCCCCGTCAGCAGCCTGGCAGCTCTATTCTGCACCAGTTGAAGTATCCGGACCGTCTTCAAGGGTAGCCCCACATAGAGCGCATTGCAGAAATCTAATCGGGAAGTTACCAACGCATGTGTCACGGTCGCCAGGCAATCGTTCTCCAGGAAGGGACGCAGCTGATGGATCAGCCAAAGCTGAAGGAAAGCGCTCCTCGCCACTGCCGTCACCTGGGCTTCTAAAGACAGCTCAGGGTCGAGGAGCACTCCTAAGCTGCGAACCCTGTCCCTCAGAGGGAGTGCAACCCATTTAGGACAAGGCCCAAGTCCCCCATCCCGAGTCCCGAACCACCCACCAACAGGACCTCCGTCTTGTCTGGATTGAGCTTCAGTTTATTGGCCCTCATCCAGCCCATTACCTCGGCCAGGCACCGGTTCAGCACAGCCACTGCCTCACCTGAATTGGTGGAGAACAAGAGGCAGAGCTGGGTATCATCAGCATACTGATAATTCCGCAGCCCACACCTCCTGATGACCTCTCCCAGCGGTTTCATGTAGATGTTGAATAGCAAGGGGGACAAAATAGACCCTTGCGGAACTCCATGGCATAACTGCCATGGTGCAGAGCCATAGTCCCCCAGCACCACCTTCTGAAATCAGCCATTGAGATAGGAGCGGAACCACCGCCACACGGTGCCTCCAACTCCCAATCCTGCTAGCCTATTCAGAAGGATACCATGGTCAATGGTATCGAAAGCCACTGAGAGGTCCAGGAGAACTAATAGGGACGCACTCCCCCTGTCTCTCTCCCTGCACAGGTCATCGTACAGGACGACCAAGGCAGATTCAGTGCCGCACCTGGGTCTGAAGCCGGACTGAAATGGGTCCAGATAATCAGTTTCATCCAAGAGTGCCTGGAGTTGTTCTGCCACCACCCGCTCTAGCACCTTGCCCAGGAACAGGATGTTGGCCACCAGACTATAATTGACAGCCACCTCTAGATCCAGGATGCCTTCTTTAGGACTGGTCGGACTACCGCCTCTTTTAAAGAGGACGGTACCTGACCGTCTCTTAAAGAAGCGTTGACCACCTCCAGGATCCAGGTGCCAATCCCATCCTTGGCTTTCTTAAGTAGCCAGGATGGGCATGGGTCTAGTAAGCAGGTGGTAGGGCGTACTTGTCCAAGCACCTTGTCCACATCATCAGGCCGCAACAACTGAAATTCATCCATTAATTGCGGACTCGAAGGCGTCGTTGGCATCTCCTCAGTAGAATCTGGTTCAATAGAGTCAAGCTTGTGACGAATCTGAGCGATTTTCTCCCTGAAATGCCTGGCAAAGTCATCACAGCAGGCCTTTGAGGGTGGTATGAGATCTTTCTTTGGGCCTGGATGTATCAGCCGTTGCACCACCCGAAAG